CCTCTCCTCACAGACCTAGTCTTAAAAGCCAAAAGTGGAGGGATAATTCGCATCTGCCAGAAAAATAAGAGACAAGCTGAATTTGGCAAAAAAATGAAGAGATTAAGAGAGCACGTAGCAGTCACAACACACATGTGGCGCCCCACCTTACTCCTTGCGCGGCATCTCTCTCTTCTCCCATCCCCATCCTCCCTCTTAGTATTGCACCGCCACATATAGCTAAGTGTTCACTAGGAAGTGGCGGGTGTACATATATGTTGGGTTGACCCATAATTTCTGGCCGAATTTCAACACTTTGATTTCTTCAAGTTTTATCTTTCCTAAAGAACAATTGATCAAAAATATAACCACCATCATAATCACTGATATGCATCCATTTGCTAGGGAACGAATGGATGCATTCCTCCCAGAACGAGTGAAGCTGTGAGATGAAAAGCTCGGAGAGGTCGTTTTTGGGGTGGTTGTATTTACTGACTTTTTTCTCTCCTAGCTGCTGCTTCAGGGAGCTGATAGTACGATGGAGCAATGTCAGGGCTATACGATAGATGTGGTGTCGTGGTCCAGCCAGTTTCCCTCGAAACGTGGCGAGTTATCTTTGCAATGTGATTTCGGGCGGTCCTTCGGAGAAAGGAGATTTTGAGACGTTTAACCGTTCTCCCGCACTGCTGCAGCCAACTTTAGGAGTTCTTCGCAATGCTTGTCTGCATAAAGTGAAATGGTTCTCAAAACGGGATACCCAGCGAATCCAACGAACCGGGGGTAATATCCTCTGATGAAAGAGCTCGGGCTTTGGTTGAGATGGTGGGTCCAGGCTGCGAGGTAGCCACCAGGCGTGCCGCGTGTTGTTATCGTAAGGACTCATGACTCATCTGCACTGGTGACCAACTAGGGAATATCTCGTCTATATAAAACGCAGAATAAAACTTCTGGCGATTCATGGAGCGCGTCCAGATGTCTGCTGCAGTATTCTGGTAATAGCGTCCGGATGCACTTCCTATTCATAGCGCAAGGGGTCCTCATCGAAAGTGACTGGAGGTCCATGATGAGGTCGAACTTTGCAGCTCCTATCGTCTTTGCCGATGCTATTGAGCCAATAGCTCAGTGCCCGATCAGTAGCAAAGACTGGGGCAAACGTAGCGCTGATCTTGCCTACCGCGCTCCTTGCAAGGTTCTTCTTAAAATTGTCGCAAGGCATAATCGTTGGGTTTGGTCGTTGATCTATTTTGATTCCTACTTAATTATCCCGTTGCGCATTTGAGCTTCTGAAGCATCCTGGCTGAAAGGCCCTGACGTGTTCTTCAACATATTAACTTATTCGTTATGAAGCTAATTCGACATGAAGTGAACCGAAATCGGTCAAGAATTGTGAGGCAACCCTAATAATTGGGAAATGCTCATTATTTGGTGTTGTGATGGGTGATGAGTGCACGCTTCCTCATTTTTTTCCTGAAGTGGGAATACATCGAATAGGAGGTTACTGAAAATAATTATTTCAGGGATTTTTCTTGGAAATTATCTTATACGCTACTGTCTGCCTCAGTTATTTATATGCACATGGCGCTGAGGCAAATCTCAGAATTTCTTCATGTTGGGTTAGTTTTCAATGAGCTAAGCATAATTGTGAGTTAATAATGGAGAATTGGTGCTTGCTCGCTTCATTTCCATTTTTTTTCATTTGTAATAAATCAAATGCCGAAGTAATTTCTCGAGTGCAGTTTGGAGCGTCGAACCATGTTGCTCGTTTTGAGCTGAAAGGCTTTTCATCACATTTTTTCAAAAAGTTGGGTGGTCTAAGATCGAGGATGCTTGCCTGCATGGCTTCAATCAGGGCAAGGAAGCCGCTGAAATTCATCGGTCGCTGCGCAGCGTCTTTGAGGGAACATTCCACCATAGGGTTAGTATCGCAGATGGCTTTAGCCGCACTGGAGACGAGTGCTCGGAGAACGAGGGCCTCCAGACAGCGAACAAAAACACTGACCAGGGAAGGCATTCAACTTCCCATGGAACTTTGAATTGAGACCCAGATATATCGATAGAGCTTCAAACGCTGATTACAAATATGGAAACTAAAACTGCAAAATGAACCTGCCAAGGAAGTTGTGAGCAGTCAAAGTTGGCTGGAAGTAAAGCGTTACATTAACGTGCTAGCCTCCGGGCTTTCAAAGTCGCCGTGGAGTAGTGGTAGTGCTCTCGAAATTTGCACTCCAACGGGAAGAGAGCTTATGACCTCCCGGGTGAAGAGCGAGGGCACTACCACTACTCCGCGGCGACTCTGAAAGCCTGGAGGCTAGCACGGTTCATATGTAATGCTTTACTTCCAGCCAACTTTGACTGCTCACAACTTCCTTGGCAGGTTCATTTTGCAGTTTTAGTTTCCATATTTGTAATCAGCGTTTGAAGCTCTATCGATATATCTGGGTCTCAATTCAAAGTTCCATGGGAAGTTGAATGCCTTCCCTGGTGAGAGAAAGGAAATCGGAGTGGACACCTGCTAGACGACAGGAGGTATCCGTATGTGACCAGAATGCGATCGGTACTCATTTCCGTGCTTTTATCAGTACGAATGGAAAAGCAGAGTAGGTTCAGCAGCCTCACCAAGTAACAACGGTCGCTTCACAGCCTCCCCCTTCTTAGTGAATAAGACCCTTTCCTCAATCTAACGGCTTCTTTCGTGCATGCTAGTTGATACAAAAGTGTCGCGCCCCGCCGACGAACAGTTGACGATAACTTACTGGTTCCCTCCAGCGAGTGTTCTGTTGTCGAGTCCTCTAGCCCTTTCATGTCCTTTGAAAAATGTGCGCTACTATCGGTTACTATCTCCCAGTCTACTTGGATGTTCGCTGTGCCTCTGAGCGCTCGGCCTTTTTTGAAACGCTACTATGTAGCTAATTCCGTCCTCATTTTGTCGTGTAGGAAGGCGTACCACACGTTTGAAGGACGTCATAAGGTACCATGTGACTATCATGTCTGTCGGCTAAACAAAGAGGTAGCCCTAGTAATGAGGACGGCCAACTTAATGATCAAAAAAGGTTTAAACGAACAAGTAAGACTTAAAGACCCATTCTGCGGCTGAAAAGATGTTGTTTATTGCGTTCGAAAATCAAAGTAGTTGTTGTGCCTAGTCTCTTAGTGATAAAAACATTGCAAGTTGATTGTGTGAGTTAGGTTCGCTCTTCCCTACTTGGATCCCACACAGGTCCTTTTTTTAAATTTTCTTCCGTTGCTGGTGGACCAACCACGACTACGTTCACTTTCAAGCACAATAACCTCTCCCCCACTCATTCAGTAACGAAAGACGCCAATCATTTTTTAGAAATCAGTTCGCTTGACTTCACTTTTCCAGGTGATAGTTTCGTTCTTCTCAATTTCCCTGATCGGTCAGTCAGGCAACTTTGCTCAGACATTCGCCAATGCTGTTGTCTACGACATATTCACCAAGAACCCAACTGCCATGGGATATCTCTACCTCCATGTCTCAGCCGCTATCATAGCCGTTGTGTTGACGTCTGCGAGTTGGTGGTCAGTTTGTTTACTGTTTCATTTCCCCAACTTTAATAGCTGGTACGGGTTCCAAATGTAAAAACTGTGTTAGTTCTGGCGATCGGCCGGGGCAGATTTTAACACAGAGCTCACAGTTTGGATGTGTCGATTCGATTCAAGGAAATCATATACCTAATTAAAGACAAAATTCAAAGTAAAAAGGTGTGTAGATCGTACAAATAAGGCAGCTTGAGGATGAACGGTGTCCAGGAAAAAACCAAATATAAACTAGTCCCAGTTATCGCCCCCAAACAATCGGTGCCGCTTCTTTCAGCCGCTTCATCCACCTTGTATTGAAGGAGCTTGTTGAGAAAAGTTTCACAAACCGTTGGCTCAAGTTGGTCAAGTGCCAGTTGCTGGCGCGGATTTGTTGCGGCTGCGGGCTGCTTCGCTGGCGCCGTGCGAGAGCGGCTGCGCCCTTCTCGCACGGCGCCCAGCGAGCGGCTGCGACCTTCTCGCACGGCGCCAGCGAAGCAGCCCGCAGCGGGAGGTGGGGCTTGCCGATGAAGGTGTGGATCGCAGGTCGAGCGAACTTCTACAAATCTTTGTCGTCACTTTCAACTGGGCAAGTGGCATGACACCAACGCTCGTCCCGCGCTGTCTTCTGGATTTAAGGATGGACAGAACAGGTGAGCGCCCCTTATCCCGACCTGAGCTTTCAATAGAACCTTATATCGCTATCAACACACCGCCCGAAACCTGCCAAATGAATCTTCAGTACTTCGAGAATCAAGTGTTAAAAAATTAATAGATGAGCGAGCTTTGACGGTATCTGAGCTTCACTAACGATTTTGCTGGCCTCATGAAGCCAGCGTCAGTGGTGACACACGCAAAGACTTGGCCCTCTAACTTGCCTCAGCGCTGATGGAACCAGCCACTGCCAATCTCGCAATTTTTTTAACGCAAATCTTATAAGTAGACTCCTTGGCGTGAAAGCCTAGACATCACAGCAAAGATCGATCCTACGGAATGACAGTGCTGTGCCCCATTCCCAATGCTATCTCCACCTCCGTAACAACATGACCTTTTCTGGTGATGCCGAATCCCCGTCGGCTTGCGCGTTCTCGATAATCTCTTTCTTGCGCGTCTCCGTCTTTTACTATTGTCGAATACTATTGTGTAACTCTGCGAAGTCACTGGGTGACTAAATGTACGGTCACACTAAGTCGATGAGATCAAATGGCGCGTGTGGGACAGCGCAGCCCGCTTGCAGTCGCACCCATGTCAACCTTTTTTCGAGTACCCGCAGTTCTCTTCCGAGTTTTTGTATTCGTTCAATGAATAACATCTCGAAATAAATACAAACGACGGGTCCACAAGAGGTTTAGGTATGCCGTGGTTTAGCGAAGGTTTTTCAAGCTCAACGAAATTTTCAGTTTAGTTTCACTCCTTATCAATGAAAACAAAGGCAAAATGATAAACACAGCCTCATCGATGACTAAGAATATGCCTACATTTGAAAAAAAAGGGGAAAACAAGCTTATGGTGTCCCACTGAGGCTCTGAACACAACTCACACTTCATTATATAAACCACAACTTTGGTGTGTCGGTTTGTCGGTGTGTGTGTGTCGTTCTGTCCGTCCGGACCAACCGCTAACAGAACCGGGGAGTTCGAAGGGCAACACTTCGTGATGTTGATGTCATGATTATGATAACACCCACAGCGGCTATATAAACACCGATCGAGCACACTCAGATCAGACTCTCATTCTACTGCCCGCAGTGGCAGCTGATGGCGAGCGGGGCTAAAGGGACAGGGTGCAGAAAGGGAGGACATGAGCGGACGAGGAGGAGGCAGAGCATAGGGACGCTATTGCTTTCACCTGATACGGTTCGCATCTGGGTTGACGGTATAAATTGCACACGTGAACTTGTGATAATACTCCCAACGGCTATATAACTACCTACCTCATAGCTATACCTTTCAGTCATATTCACAGGGTCTGCAGTAATCAGTGAGCGATGGTGAGATGGAAGGATAATGTGAGAAGGAGAAGCTTCGCAGGGAGGGGGGAGAGAGGTGGTTCGGCGGTTGCCGGGGGACCAATCTGGTATTATAAAATTTGCTATTTTCTGCCATGATACGCCCTCTTGGCCGAAGTTCCACTGTTGTTCCCCAGGTTAAACTTCTATGCATTAATCGTTGCTGAAGTTTTGACTTGCCATTCATGTAGAGTGTGTTCACTTCATAGTTCACGCATGTGAGGAGAGTCGAGCGAGTTGCAAAACAAGCGCCAACCAAAAGTTTGCCGGCACACCGCCTTTTACCCATCCGAAACTTGAGGGTGTATGAAACTGACTATTTACCAAAAAAAGAACATTTGTGCAAATCAGTCGCGAGGAAAGCTGCTTAAATACGGCAAATAGTCCGTAGAAGATGTCACTTCCGCTTCCTCCATCAGCTCTGCCCTTTTGTCCTCTTCTCCGCACTCATTCCTCCTCATCGTCAGAGCCTCTCGTCCGGTCTCTTTGCCGCAAGCTTGTACAATCCATAGTCAGCCATGAGGAACGGGTCTTACTCAGAAAGTTTTGAAATGCTTCCTATTCTTCTCTTTGATGGACCGCCCATGCCTTTTGAAACGGAGAGCTCTTATGTTAGCTATTTAGAATAGCAAGGTGTTGAAAGACTGTCTAACATTTCATCATGGCTTTGTTACGGTAATATGCTATGAGAATTTTCATTGCAGGTTACTGAAACCGAGCAAAAAAGTCCAAAGTGAACAAGTCAAGCGAATCGGTGCAGGATGCGAAGAAGGTCACCTCTGCCTAGCTCAACCAACTTCTTTCTATGATTACCCACTTATTGCTCTCTAATAAAGATTCTTAACAGTTACTTCTACTTGACAACTGTTGTAAGAACATATCTAATAACTAGACATTAATTGGCTACAGGACTTATTAATCCTCAACCAGCCGAACTAAGGTTTGGCGCAGATTTCACACCGTACGGTTCCACCACTGCCATTGACCCTGCATTCTTTAGTAAGTGCACTGTTGACAGATCAACAGCAATAAAATTACAGAGTCGCCATTAGAATCGTTACCTGGAACGTGCGATCAATGACCAACGAAGAAAAATAATAACCCTCAGTCATACTCCAACCAATCCTTTCCCCGGTGTGTAATGGATTTGCACACTTTTGAAGGCTTACCATCGGCAGTAATTTTTGGATCTAGAAGTCCTTTCGGCAGTCTTCCAGAGCTCAGCAAGTCCCGTCTCGGCTCTATGGCATCTGATTCATCAATTACAGCGTTCTCCTTGCTGCACAAAAGTATAGTCCCTTGAAGGTAAGATCGACCGACAACCAAACATACTTTTTGAACTGCGCAGTACTCATGTAGATACACGAGAGGAACCTTTCCTATAGCAGTTGATGCTGACCAAGACAATTTCTAATTTCGGTAGGAGTTCAACTCCGGGTTCGTGAAGTCTTGCAATTCAGGACTGTTCCAAGGTGTCTATCTTAGTTGTGGGGGGGAGGGCACCGGCCGGCGCCGGCACTCTGTTCGTCTCCCCTCCAAAGCTTACATATATAGTCCTCGATGGCGCGTATTCGAAACATCCGTGATGGCAAAATATAACTGCGGCTCTATTCTAAAGTTGATGAACACCGTTCAGCTTTCACTGCATCGCAAGTGCAGCCTCTCACCCCCGCCACCCTAAGTGTGCTACAACTCTAGGGGTGGGGGTTAGGGCATCACTTGACTCTTGCTTCCGCTTGCTCACAATACCCGACTCTCGTGTACAGTAATAGTACAAGCAACAGTTCCAACTGACAGGCTTTTCGTTCAAGAACACCGTAATCTGCCCCCTGGACTATCTTGGAGAGCAGATGCCACAGAGCGCACGTCGTGTCCGCCGCAGTACCCCCCCCCGCCTTCCACTGACCAGGAAGGTCTTTCAGGGCGTGACGAGCTTTTTGAAAACGGTCTTTTGCATGATATAGGGGCAGATGCGGGGACCACAGAACCATGTTTAATTTTTCCTGAACGGCCCTCTGAATACCAGAAAAGGGGTCCCTAGTTCGATTCCTCTTGGTGACAAATTTTTGCATTTCGAGTTGACGTTCCAAAATTCGCGCAAAATGGAGTTAGCATGAATAATTAGTACCATATTCATGATTAGGGCCGTCAGTAACCCTACAAAAAGACTTTGACTTAAAAATTGGTGTAAGAGGTGTGACACCAAGCAGCCCCACTGTGGTGTCACACCTTTTTCACCAGTTTTTTAATCAAAGTCTATTTGTAAGGGTTACTGACGGTCCTAATCATGAATATGGTACTAATTATTCATGCTAACTCCATTTTGCGCGAATTTTGGAACGTCAACTCGAAATGCAAAAATTTGTCACCACGAGGAATCGAACTAGGGACCCCTTTTCTGGTATTCAGAGGGCCGTTCAGGAAAAATTAAACATGGTTCTGTGGTCCCCGCATCTGCCCCTATATCATGCAAAAGACCGTTTTCAAAAAGCTCGTCACGCCCTGAAAGACCTTCCTGGTAAGATAGCCACACCTGTTCCAAATTATGTTATACTTCGATGCCAACCATTGCTATTCCGTTCCCATTTCGATCAAGGAGGCTCTTGAATGTTGCGAGTGCTTAGCCGGCCTTTCTTCATTTAGTACTCGTGAGTTCTTGTTCCTACTAAATATAACACACGTTACGGAAAGAGATGTCCACGTGGAAACTCCTAACTCCGGAAATGAGGATTGCTAACGTGCCTGGGTGCTCCTTCTTTTCCCCGAAGATTTTGTCCCAAACGTTGACTACGTAAATACTCTAATTTCGAACGCTTTTGGCGCCATGCCACCCCACCCTTATCTGACTAGAACATGCCTTGCTTTCATTCATACATTTCTCGTGTCTGTCTAATCTCGATCAAAAAGTAAATCTAAAAGAGCTTTGTAGATATAGTAAAGCGCTTGTCGTCGTACCAGTGTGAGTGGTCGTAGCTACACAACAAGCATTGAGCCATACGGCTTCGTCAACTATTTCTCCTTGGCTCACATGCTTGTGTATCCAGCACATTTCCTTATTCAGAATAACGGTTTACAGTTAACGGCAATTGAGTTCTACGACTGCTTTCTCCGTATTAATCACCATTACAGCCCCAGAACCTCAGGAATTTCGTTTTTCGTCGAAACTTTATCGAGGGGATAATTCGATGCTCTGGTTACGAAAACGTTACGTTCATTTTGGCTTTAGCATAGTTGAATGTCATTTCGTAGTTAAGGCACCAAATTTTTGAAAGGCAAAGTTTCGACCAAAAAAATACAATTTTTGCATTTGGGGGTTTGATTGTAATAAGAAAGATTATCATAAACTTCAGTATACTTCTGCGTAAGTAAAGCGTGCGCGTTCCTGTGCCTTTCCAATTACAAGGTGTCTTGTGTAAACTTCTGGTTTATTTCCTGAACGATGCTTGAATTTCGGGTTTCCAGTATAAAAAGCAGAGTGGGTCATTTCGACTCAACTCGTATTATAGGATCGCTATATTAGAAATGTCAGTATATCTTTTTCCAGTAACATCGTCTTCATCTACTCAGTCAAAACCACCCGTCTTTTGGCTATAAGATAGCTATGACACATATGACACATCCGATGCGAACATGTTAGAAGCTTGAAATTCACAAAAGCAAAGCTAGCTGCTGTGAAGAGTTTGTTCAATTTGTAGTAATGGGAGGCGAGGCGCACAATTGTCGGAAGCAAGCGCACAACTGATTACTTCGAAAAAACATTGCATGCTTTTTTTGCTTAATCTTGAACGTTTAGAAATGTGCTTCAACAGGGAGGAGAGAGACTCCGGAGTGCGCAAGCAACTTTTTCCGTGTGTTACTCACTCTCCTAGGTCAGTCATCCCAAAGTTCTCTCTCTAACTACAGGTTGCTTCTTCGCACCATCTAGCACAACAAAACTCTTACAACAACAAAAATCAAAAGAACTAGTGTTAGCAATTGAAATGTTGAAGCTTCGGGTTGGTCTAAAAACGAAGCTAAAAATTCACACTCTACACCAATTCCTTCCAACTGCAAATGCTGCACAACTATCTCACCACGTTCCTCCCTCTACTTGCATAAGACCCGCATCGCAAATCTTCTGATAAAGGTGCACTGCATCCTTCTAATTTTCAAGCCTAACTTTTGTGCGGTTGATGTATGATTGTGTTGTATTAATTAGCGTTGTCGTTCCGCAAACACTGAAGTAGTGGAAAGGAAAGATGGATAAACAAACCGCTAACAAATCGGGTAGCTTTACATCAATGTTTTGTAGCAGGATAGTTGTGATAACACTCTTAGGGCTATATAAACACCTGCTTAGCACACTTCCGTTCATTCCACATGGTGCTGCAGTGGCAGCTGGAGGGCAGTGGAGAGAGGAAGGGAGGATGAGGAAGGGAAGCGAAAAATCTACCGTCATATCATGATTGTGTCCCTTCTACTGTATGAAACACCATTGTGTTGCATACGCGTCACTTCCAGGAGGTGTTGGTGTCACAGGAGGAAGGGACCATAGCGGAGGATAGAAAGCTTGCGCAGGAAAGGAAGGTCCCGGCGGTTGACGGGGGACTAATCTGGTATATTTCGAAAAAAAGCCATGTATCGGGCCTTCAAGTTACAAAAATAATCTGAAAAAACGTACACTATTCTTCCTGCTACTGCAACTGGGGGCATCATGACATGTCATAAGAAGAATTAAATTATTTATTTCAGCGTTTAAAATTATTACCAGGCTCGCTCTTCATTTCGTGTACCCCTCTATGAAATAGGTTCGCACAATAATTGTCTCATAACTGATTGCTTACAGCAAAAACTGCTGCAGAACCGTTCCAGTGGCAGAATCTTCTCAGAAATTATCAACCACTGGACCATCATCGCGCCAATAAATGAGATGGTGAAATACAGGAGAAGCAAGTTACTGTTTTGTCATTTGTACTCATATACACCGCTTGCGTCAAACTCCCCAATAATATAATGGAATGGAAGACATTCTTTGCAGAAGAAGCCTTTCCACCACTTTTCTGTTCCAGTGTAGTGCAGTTCCACTGAGTTTGTTGTTCACTCTTTTGTGCCCAACGAGTGGAATTCGCAATTTACATTACACTTTAATTTTATTTTCTGATTCTCTAGCTTTTCATAGGGCTCCATGTGATCTCAAGTTATTTTACTGTTCACCGCATTGGTTTGAATTTCATTTGAATAAACCATATCCATGGCATCTAATTGTATGTTTTTAACACATTCACGACGACGCCCCTTTTCCACTTTTCGGTCGCGTGGGACGGACGCGATTTTGTGGGCGCCGCCGCCTCACCACATAACCGCAGATTTTGTTTTGTAAATGAACAAAAACATGAATGTCACAAAATAATTTCTGCAATGTCCAATGCGTAAAGATTATCTAAACATATAACAGTAGGATTTCGATCAGAACGACAAATAGTGGTTACGAAAAGAGAGCATTTATTCACTTTCCCCGTGAAGGAATTTAAAACATTTTACACTCGATATCGAGGTTTGCCCACCTATCTGTCC